TAGACCAGACAGAAGGGAGCCTCCAGATGTGGCTAAGGTCCCCCACTGGCCCTTTCATTATGAACTCTGAGCCCAAAGCCTTGGGGAAAAAGGGAAGCCCAGGCTCTGCCCCCCGCCTACTCCCCCCAGACTACTCTCCACAGTGACTATGACCTTGGGCTTCTGAAGCTAGGAACAGCCCCACCAGGGTGGAACAGCAACAAGCAGGCAGGCCTCAACCTATTTCTACCCAGGGTCAACTGTGCGGGCATGACTCTGAAAGTGACACAAAACATCCCAGAATGAATAGAAGACTTGGCACCAGTTAAATCAGCCACTACACAGGAACTTCCCTGCTCCCGCACTAGTGGGGGGCCATGCCCCCAAGTAGAAAAAATAAAACATTCTCTGCAGGGGACATCCTGGTTGAACTGATGTCTTTTGCACCACACACATGAGGCCTAAGGGGAAGCTATAGGGCCCCGTTAGCTCTGAGGGCAGCCTGTTTAAGATGCAACCACCATAAACTGAACCCCCAAACTGCACAGCGCATGGACCAGTGCTTCCCTATGGCTAGTGATGAACTTCTCTCATAAGCTAAATTGTGGACAGTTGCACATAACATTCAAGAAGTTGTCTGCTGCAGAAAACCATATATTATAGTATAAAAGCCTTATTTGATACATCATTCTCCCCAACCCCACTAAATAAAGGTTAAGTGAACATGAAGGGCTGCCAAAGCATTTGCCAGCCTGGGTTGCCTTAGTCCTGTCCTGCTCAAGGCAACAATGACCTCCTGGTTTCCTGAGCCAAACCCCAGGAGCTGAGCCCTGGTTTTGGGAAAAACAGGCCACTTTGTCCTTTTGGAGCAGTGCTGACGCAAGGCCAGGCCTCATCCTGGCCTGAGGGGGGCCTTGGCCACATCCTTGAACTGAAGTTGGAGAGCTTTCTTTTATTAACTGTGTGGACTTTAATTTTGTAACCACTTTATCATGATATAAATCTCATCCCATAACAATCCACACCTGGCTGAGGGGCTGGGCCCAGAGCCTCCCTCTGCCTGCCCTCCTCTCCCTCACTGCTATGACTTGCAGGCCTGGTCCCTCTGAGGTCCGGGGCCTCAGCACCTGGAGGTCAGTCAGCCATGAGTCTGAAACCAGGACTGTGCTCCATGCGCCAGGCAACATGTTAAGATGCACCTGGGCTGCTTCCGAGATGAAGGGGAAGCTGGCGGAACTAGAGTGATGGCAGGGAGAGGTCAGGGCCTAGAGCTGTGCTGGGCCAGGCCAAGAGGCCAGTACTGGGGAAGTGAGGCCACGGAGGAGAGCCCAGGCCGTATCTGTCCCCAGGCAGCTGCCCAGCCAACCCTACACCATTCAACATGGGGCACAAGCGAGACTTAGGCGCTACCTTGCCTCGCCCAGGTGGAGGCAGACTAGACTTGGGTGCTCCCCCAAAGCAAGCACGAGTTTGTGCCTGAGTGTGCAGGTGTTCTGGACACAGGTGGGGACGGGCTTACATTTGAGTTGACCTTGAGGGATGCAGAGAAGTCACCAGACACCAGAGGGGGAGGAGAGTGTTTCCCACAGAGGGAACAGCCCAGGCAAAGACACACGTGGAATTGTCCACAGCAGTAGACAGTCCTGGGGCAGGAAGCCTGGTGAGGAGGGAGGCCTGGTAGGGAGGGAGGCGGGGGCAGCGGGTGGGCAGGCCCAGGGCCCCAGAGCTTGGCACTCTGCTGAGGGCTAGGCTTCCTCCCTGGCATTAAAGCCACTGGGAAATTTTTAATGCAGAATGAACAGGGTAAATGTGTCACCTGGAGGATGACCAGAGGCCACGCAGAGGCGGATTTTAAGGGGCATACTGGAGGCCGAGAGAATAAGTTGCAAGCGGTGGACGTAGACAGTGGTGGGCATGTTCAGGGCTTACGCAGACAATGCTAGAGGGACGACTGAGGGATACGTAGGAGGGAAAAACAGAGCTTGAGGGTCGGCTGATGTGGGGATCAGGGAGAAGAGATATTCAGAGAGAGAAAAATCCCAATTGACCTGAACTTCCAACTTGGGCGCCGAGATGACTGGCAGAGAAAGTGCAGACCTGGGGAGGCGGGTGGCTCCTCCTGCTGTGTCCTGGGGCCCAAAGGTGGAAGGGAGCATCCCCCCTCTTATTCTGACCCCCACCAAGCGCCACTGCCCCCCTTTAACCACGAGGTGGCACCAGACTCCATCAGTTGGGGCCAAGCAAGCACCAAGCAGGCTCTCCCTGGAGGGGCCTCCATCCAGACAGGCCTCCTCGTCCCTCATTTTATTCTCTTAAGATACGTTCTTATCATGGACATATTATTCTTACAGGTAGATTCTTTTTATAACGAGGAATATATTCCTGATTATAAAGAGTTTTCACAAATACAATTTCATCAATCGCCCACCCCCGCCCTGGCCTTCACCCCCTCCCGGCAGCCTCTCCTCTGCTCTTGAGTCTTGGGAAAAACCAGCAGGGAGCTGGGGAAAGGGCCGATGATACAGTCCTCGAGATTCTGCTTGCAAGGGTGATCAGGTGATTTGGCCCCTGACAGGTGCGCAGACAGGCCAGCCCCCTGGTGGGAATGGGAGAGGGTGGGGGCGCCCTGCCCGGTCCCCTCTTCTCTGCAGCACTGAGGTGTGGCCACTGCCTCACCCACAAGGGCCAGGGTTAGGAGGGGCCCACAGGACTGCACCACCTGGCCGTCGTGGGAGCCACCTGGGGACCCACAGGAGGGGGGCGCGAGCTGGGCTCCTGCATGGAAAGGGAGCTCAGTTTCCACGCCCTGCACCTGGGGAGGAGCAGTAAGAAGGCGCAAAGGCCACGGAGCCAGCAGCAGCGGCTGCAAGGGAGCAGAACAGGAAGACGGTCCCTAGTGGGGTGCAGCCTGGCCGGCCAGATCTTGGAGTAGAGTCCTGAGCACCCAGCAGGCTCGGTGGGGCCAAGGACAGTCAGAACAGCTCCCCTCTTCCCCAGACTCCACCCCAGACCAGTCCTCTTGGAGGCTCCTGAGAAGCAGGAGGTGTTTGATCTTACACTTGGCTTTTCTAGACGGGCCTTGAGGTGACAGGGGGTCTGGCTCGTAGAGAAGCTCTTGGCCCCCGGGTTTGTCATTGGGCAGGGGGACCACCCTGTTACAGATGCAGATCCAGCTCAGGGCCTCACTGGCTCCACCCGGCCGTGGTCTTCCTCAGCCAACACATCCATCCGTGGCTTCTAGAGCAAGGATTTGACACTAAGCCAAAGGGAGTCAAGTGCAGAAAAGGGAGCTGCACCCCATCCAGAGCTCACCGATGGCTCCCTGGCCTTTCCTGCCTCCAGCCCTCAACCCATCTGGGCCTCTGGCTCCTGATCCAGAGCCTGCAGAGCTGCCTCCCACCCTTCATTCAAAAATATACTGGGAGCAGGTAGCGCTCCCTGGTAGCCCCTCCCTGGGAGCGCAAGGGGTTAGGACGCAAGCTATGAAGCTGTCCGCAGCCACTGCAGCATGAGTTTGAGCCCCGGCCAGGGAGCTACCCACATGACACAGCAGACCCCTCCTGACTTGCCCGCTGCTACCCTCAGCAGTGTATTTCAGTCAATCCACCTATTCTGCTCCCCACTCTGTCTCTGGTGAATCCTCTCACCCCCCGCACCTCTAGCCTGTGTCCCAGTTCTTGTATGCATAAATAAATCTTAAAAAAAAAAAATAAAGCTTTAAAAAAAAAATACCCTGGGGCATCCCTAGTGGCGCAGCGGATTGAGTGCAGAACTGTGGGGCTGTCTGCAGCCTCTGCAGCGCGGGTTCGATTCCCGGCCAGACAAGGAGGTGCCCATAGGGTGCAGCAGACCTCTCCTGTCTTGCCCGCTGCTCCCCTCAGCAGTGTATTTCAGTAGATCTCCCTGTTCTGCTCCCCGCTCTGTCTTTGGTGAGTCCTCTCACCCTCCCGTGCCTCTGGCCTGTACCCCAGTTCTTATATGAATGAATGGATCTTTAAAAAAAAAAAAAAAACAGGGCCTCCTTGGTGGCGCAGCGGTTGAGCGCTGGGTTGTGAAGCTGCCCGCAGCCTCTGCAGCACAGGTTCGATCCCCGGCTGCTCCCCAGCCACCGGAGGAGGGTCCTGCATGGCGCGCAGACCTCTCCTGCCGCCCGCTGCTCCCCTCAGCAGTGTACTTCGTCAGTCTGCCTGCTCTGCTCCCCGCTCTGGCTCTGGTGAATTCTCTCACCCTCCCGCGCTTCTGACTGTACCCAGTGCTTGTATAAATAAATAAAATAAGTCTTTTAAAAAAAAATTAAAAAAAAAAACACACCCTGAAATCCACTGTCTCCAGAGAATGGCCCTAGAGCTAGGAGGGCCAATCCGCGCCCCCCAACCAGACTCAGCCAGTCCTGGCATGCTGCCCTGGAACCCCCCCAGCCACAGGGCAGAAACACCAGGGCCACAGCACCTTGTTCATGCTTTTATTCTGCAGCAGGCAGGTCTGGTCACAACTCGAGTCCCTGCCCTAGATGAGCCTCAGGGCCTGGGTGAGCCTCCGGTGGGGTCCTGATGGGGGGTGCCTAGTGGCACCCAGTCCCAGACAAACTGCTCTAAACTTCCGTAAGTCTTGCTCATCCAGACCCTGTGACTCAGGGGTGCAGGGGGAGGGGGCTGTGGTCAGGTTTTGGGGAGAGGGGAGGGCACACGCAGGGAGAGAGGAGGACGGCAGGCCTCCCAGGAGAGGAAGAGTGGACAAGGCGGGGGGAGCAGGGCTCAGACACACCTGCTGTTCCCTGCAGCCTCTCAGGCAGCTGTGCAGGCCACCTCCAGGGCCACAGCTGCAGCTGGGACACCCTCACGTGGCCTGGAGGCCATGTCAGTGGAGGTGCCTGTGTTTGCGTGCTAGGCGGGAGGGAGCCAGCTGGGCTGGGGGGAGGGACAGAGGTGGCAGCTGGGAGGAAACGGGCCATGCAGCAGGAGAGTCCACAGGCCTGGGAGTGCTCAGGAAGAGGCCTGGCGGGTCCCAGGGCCCACAAGCTCTTAAAAGTTGATGTTCTTCAAGTCTGTGGAGCACCGGTACCGGCCATCCGGGTACCTGGTGCACAGCAGGTTGGGTAGGCAGGGGCAGGTGTGGTGCTGGCGTTTTCTGAAGAAGGGGACCTGGGGAGGAAGAAGAGACATGCTATCGTCACCAGAGAGAGGTGGAGCTCTGACAGGGCCCCCCAACACAACACTGACAGCTAACAGCAGAAAACTGAGGTGCAGAGTGGCTGAGCAGCAGACCCAGACCCCACAGCCAATGCGTGAAGGAGCCAGGACCCAACTCAGGCAACCTGGCTCTCAGCACTGTGATCAGGCTAGACGCTGCAGTGTCCACCGCCAACCCTGAGACCTCAACACTGCCTACCAGGGGTCCCCTGACTGACCCAGCATGCAGAGCACACACACTCACACACAAAACGCACCTTACGGCTCAACACTGGTGGGTGCGGGGGTAGGGCTGGGCAGGACAGCCCATCTCTGCCCTGTGACTCACCCCCAGAGCAGTGCTGAACCAGGAGGTTCCTCAGGGGGGTCTGAATGGGAGTGCTGGGAGCACAGGTGGGGTCAGACTGCCTGGGTTCAAATCCCAGCTCTACCAATTCCCAGCTGAGAGGGCATTCACAGGTTATTTAGCCCACCTGTGCCTCAACTTCACCTGTAAATTTTAAAGAAGTTTAAACTATATATTTGCAAAAAGCACTGAGTCTGAGGAGAGGCCCACAGTAAACACTCAGCATTACCTTCTATGGCCACTGTTGGCACTTTGGGAAAATAGAACTGCAGCTGATCTACCTCAGCACCCCAAGGTGACAAGAACTCCTGAGCTGGCCTGTCTTGCCTACCCCTTCACCACCCCCCCTCCTTGGGGCCTCTGCATCCCCTAGGTGGACCATGTTTGGGTCTAGAGAATGCTCTGAGGACAGGGCTCCTAGTAGCAGGCACATCCACAGAGGAGACTGAGGGGCTCCTGAACCACAGGGAGCTGCCAAAGAAGAGGCTGGGGAACGGGTCTCAAATCCTGGCCCCACAAGCCTGAGGCCTCTCTGCTAGTCCCTTGAGGCCTTGCCGCACCGAGGCCCCGCCCTGCCCCACCGAGGTCCCCTAGGCTGAGGTCCAGCAGTTGCATCCACTTGAAGATTCTGGAACAAAGGTCTGTGACCCGTCTGTGCACTCTGGGCCAGGAACTGGCTGTCTGGGGTGGCAGCAGGACGGGGCCTCAGTGCCCAGGGCCCAGAAGAGTGAGCGCCTCCTTGCAGTGTTGACCCTAGACTTGGCTTCCTACCCACTAGCCTAGGACTGGCTGGAAGCCCATTTTACAGGTTTTATTTCACGTTTTCCTGGAAAGTTCTTGGGAGCAAAGCGCGTTTGTCAGATCTGAAGAGACTCTAGGGTAATCCACCTACATATGAGGCAACTGGGGGCCAGAACTGCTCTTGCCCAAGACCCCCGCAGCAAACGACAAGCTGGGGTCTAACAGGCAGTATGATCAGTGCCCCCGTGCCACCCCAGCTGCCCCCAGGAGCCAGGAGGCAGTGTCCAGCACCAGGGAAGTGTCAGGGTTGGGGCTAAAAACTGCAGTTGCGGGGTGCTTCTGCCCAGGGCTGTGCACCCCCACAGGGCACCAGGCTGAGAAGTACCTTGTGACTGACAGGGTGGCACTCCTCTCCCTCCTGCCCGAGCGGGGTGCACATCCGCAGCCCACGCAGCCACAGGCTGATGGCACAGCAGGTGCCTGCCCCGCACTGGACATCCCGCTCACAGGCCTGCAGGGAGAGACAGAGGGGCCATTAGTACCCACTAGTGCCGCCAGAGAGAAACCAGGAGGGAAGAGGCACTCGGGGGCAGCAGCTGAGGCAGCACCCTTGCCTCAGCATCACCTGTGCATTGGTTGCCCCTGAGCGGGCAGGGGCCTCGGAGCTCAGCGGGGTCTCAGAGTGGATCTGAGGAACCGGCAAGTAGCTCTGGGGCCCCTCCATGAGGAGGCGGTGCTCCCCGTCTGATGGGGGGAGACTTGGCTTTTCTAGCAGCCATAAATGCTCAGTGGATGCTGGTGAGACTGAATTAATCTGAATTCCTAGAAGGGGAAGGAGAGCCTGAGCCCCGAGGTGGTCAGGGTGCGGTTCTCTGCCCGGCCCGAGGCTGGTACCTTGTGCTCCCCTCACCAAGCTGCCCTGCCCTTGGCTTCACCAGAAGCCCAGCCTCACCTGCAGTGCAGCAGATGTCCCCCCAGTGCTCTGTGCTGGCCAGCCTGACCCCCAAATGGGGATGGGCCGTCTGGGTCGTGCTCCCAGAACAGGGGGTGTAGGGAGTGTCCCCATCTGGTTTCTGGAAGGTGCCATTGTAAAGAAGTCCACACAAGCCTCTCTAAATAGAAGCCTGCCTTGAGGACAACAGGGCTGTGACCCTCTAAAGTCTCAAGGGGGACCCCAATGGAGAAGCCCCCAAACTTTCTGCTTCCAGAGAAAGCTTGGCGGCTCTTCTGGGTTTGGTTCGCTCTTTTCCCACCAAGGCCGGGGAGGCCTGACAAGACCGGACTCTGCCCCGGGAGGGGAGCTGGGGGATGTCGAGTCTGCTTGTCACCCAGGGAGGCGCAGGTGCCGGTCACCTGGGCTTGCTGCTCTCCAGCCCAGGGAAAGCACATCTCACACACCAGCCACCCTGACCGCCCGGGGTTAAGGCCACAGAGGTGGGGCGCTGCTGTCCTGCTCAGGGAGGAGGGACCATTCAGCCTGAATCAGGTGGCCCCTGCCCAGGGAGAGGGGAGTGTGGAGATGGTAGAACCGCTATTCCCGGGCCTCCCTGGTGGCTTAGGGGTTAAGTCTCAGCGCTGTCACCTCTACAGCCTGAGTTCGATCCCCAGCCAGGGAGCTGACCCACATGGCGAGCAGACCTCTCCTGTCTCACCTGTTGCTCCTCACTGCAGTGTATTTCAGTTAATCATCCTGTTTTGCTCCCCACTCTGTCTCTGGTGAATCCTCTCACCCCCCGCATCTCTGGCCTACACTTACCCAGTTCTTGTATGTATAAATAAATAAATAAATTCTTAAAAAAAAATAAGAATGGTCTTACCACCATGCGCATTGTGGGCTGCATTTGAGGGGGTTCCAGGAAAAGCCAGACTCCCCACAGAGACCACAGCCCGAGTGTCAGGGATTCTAGCCTTGTGGGGCCCGTGCGCTGAGCCCCACTTCTATCTGGTGGGCAACGCTTGCTTTGGGCGCCCGCAGCCCAGTGTTGGTGTCCCTGGTATTTCTACCGAAACTGGGCACGGAGCGAGCAAACATAAACGTAAAGAGTTTCAAGACACGCTTCTGCAGAGTAAAGAAAGCAGACGTGAGAGGGGACCAGCCCCTATATGCAAACCAAAATTTACACAAAAGATAAAATAGGGGGTGCTAATCCACTTTATAAAGGAATCCCTCAGTCCACCGGAGGAATCTTCATTTTACCAAGGGACGAAACCTCACAATTTTCAACGCTCTCCCAACACAATGAACATAGGATTTGATTTATGCACAGCTGCTCCAAGGCAGGCCTGGCTGGCAGAGTGAGGTCTAACTCGCATCACATGGAACCCCTCTGTGAAGTCCGCCCAGGCTAATTCCCCATGCCGGCAGTTTGCCTCCGGGGTGCCTCCTGGCCCTCCTGCTGTCCCTGAGAGGGTGGGAGACTTACCCCCGTGATCACCGCACCGTCCGACACCGTCACCAGGAGCAGCACCACCGAGACACGCACGGCCCCGCGCATGGTCCCTCGGGTGCTGCGCTGCTTCCGCTGCCACCCGCTGCCTCCCGCTCAGCCGCGTGCCTGTGAGCTGGGAAGGCCAGACTCGCCTGCCGCTCTCTCCTCCCAGATTTATATGTCCGATCCCGGCTGCCTGTGGCCGCCAGTCTCCTCTCCCCCCTGGCCCATCTCCCTGTTACTCAGATGCTCTCCACGCCAAAGATGAGACCTGAATCCCTAATGGCCTCAAATCACCACCCAAGCCAATAAAAAGAAAGACATCAGTGGACGGACAGTCGCCCTGACTCTCCCAGGAACTCAGATCCTCTCCGTTATATGCATCTCCCTGCACAGTCCTTTGTGCCCCTGGGGCACCCCGTTCTGCCCGCGCAGGGGGAGGGCTTTGGGAATGAGTTAAGGCGTTTACATCATTGCCCTGTATCCTGCACCATGCACCAAGCTCGGCTCCCTTCACCCCAGCCACGGGAGCCGGCTGCGTTCTTGCTGCATGCTCACCGTCCGCTCGGCACAGGGCTGCTCAGAGGACCTGAGTGGGAAAGGCGCTGACCCGGGCCCTCCAGAAGGTTAAAATTCTGAGGGGCGACATGAGGTAGTGAGGAACAAAGCCAGGTTTGTGGGAATGGTCCTCCCTGCAGCGTGCAGGAGAGCAGGTGCTCTCTGTCAGGCTCAGGACAGGCTCCTGGTGCAGGAGCGCAGCGCAGAAGTTGAGCCGCACTCAGGTGCCTGCAGAGGTGGAAGCTCAGGCTGGGGTCCAGCTCCGAGGTGCCTGGAACCACGCTGCTGCCTTCCTGCTTCACGGGGTGAGCTTGGGAATGGCTCAGACACCAGCCTCATGGGAAGTCAACTTCAGCGGGGAGCCCCAAGGTCCCAGGATCATTGTCAGACAGCTTCTCTCCACGAGCAGGAGGGCCTTTGTTTCCCAAAGTGCGTTTTGCAATATGTTAATAGCTACTGCACACACGGATACGTGAAAGATTCCCTGCGGTCAAAGCTTCGGGAAATACGACACAAGCTACCCAGCTTGTGGACTGCAGCACCTTGTAGGGACTTTCCTATGCTAGCAAGCATTTGAAACACCAAAGTGGGGCGGGGGGGATGCATTTGGTAGAATTTCCCAAATTTATTCACATTTGCTTTTTCTGGACCCCAGAGGCCACTGCTGGACCCCAGGGGCCACTACTGGACCCCAGAGGCAAGCACTTTGACTCCTGATCCCAGATTGCTCATGAGCGTTAGAACCCTGGAAATAGTGTTGACTCTTGCTCAGCCTCAGTTTTCTCATCTGTAACCCGGGGTGATGGCAGTACGTCCATCAGGGGGCTGTGCAAGATTCTGTCTATTATTTACTCACTGACTCTCCAGGCACACCTCAGGGATCTTACAAATTCGGTACCAGGTCTCCACATGAAAGGAGTTGCATAGATATTTCTGTTTCCCAGTGCACATAAAAGTTACACTATACTGCATACAGTATAGTGTAAAAAGTATAGTGTAAAAAAGTTTACACTACTGTAAACTCTACTGTAGTCTAGTAAGTGTGCAATGAACATACCTTAATGAAATGTGACACAGAGACACGAAGTGAGCACACGGTGCTGATAGATTTGCTGGTGCGGGGTCGCCACACACCTTCAACTTGTTAAAAACACATTCTCAGCAAAGTACAATAAAGGGAAGCACAACTAAACGAGGCGTCCTGTACGTCTCCTTATGATTACAGCAGTGCAGCTGCTGTCCCTGGTGGTGCCCGGAGGAAACTTCAGCTCCTGGGGGCAGACAGCTAATCAACAAACAGATTTAATGAAATGCCCGGGTGGACTGAGAGCTAGTAAAAAGGAGGCCAGGGGAGACGACAGAGCATGACAGTGGGTGGTATTTTAGATGGGTTGAGAGTCTACAAGACACTCGAGAAAGACTGAAAAAGCGAGAGTGAGCTGGGCAGAGTCACCGGGAAAGAGCCAGGGCAAATGTCCTGGGGCAGCACATTCTTGGACAGTTCCAGGAGTGCCGTGAGGAGGGGAGGGGAGAGGAGGGCCGGCACCGGAGTAGGAGCCAGGGCCTTGCCCTGTCAACGTGGTGGCTGGCTGACTGCAAGCGTGACAGGTCCTCAGACAATTTTCAGCAGAGGAGGGACACGGTGTGATTTACACTTTGCAAGGATCTCTCTGGCTACATGTGACGAATTAAGTGAGATGATGTCTGTGAAGTGCCATGCACAAATACTTGGCACATAATGTTTGCTAACTGTTGGCAATATTTGTTATAAAAAGATGAACACTAATTCAAAAGGAAACCTGCAGCACTCCTATGTTTACTGCAGCACTGTTTACAATGGCCAAGCTATGGAAAGAACCTAAATGCTCCCAAACAGATGAGTGGTTCAAGAAGATCACACACACACAGTGGAATACTACTCAGCAGTCAAAAAGGATAACTCATGCCACTTGCAGCAACATGGATGGAGCTAGAACAGTTTCATTTATCCTAAATGAAATAAACCAGAACGAGAAAGATAAATACCACATGATGTCACTTCCATGTGGAATATGGAGACATGAAAAAAGGGTCAGACAAAGACAATCCCTACAAGCTGATCACAGATCTGAGGCATCCAGAGGGGCAGGTGGGAGGGGTGACAACAGGGTGGGACGAGAGCAGGATGGCTGTTGGTAGGTGCTTTGGTGGTGAGTGCACTACAGGGACAACACCTGAAGGGGGAGACCCCATACTTCCAAAATGCCAACAACGGTGGAAAACATTGACAAGTCAATAAAAACAAATTTTTTTTAAAAAAGAGCCTATTTACCTGAATATAAAACTCTCCTGCAAAATGACAATCAAAATTATGATTCTGTACAGCTCACCTGCACACTGAATCTGAGCCAGGTGCACCAAGACACCTCCCCGACCCGGGGGCCTCCTGGAGGAGAAGGCTCAGGGAGCTGTGAGTTGCTCTCAGAAGCGGCCAGTGCTCTGTGTGCCCTGGGCCAACGGCCTCCTCGAACAGATCCCCAGCAGGGACAGCGTGAGGGAGGGGCTGCTTGTCAAGCCAGCAGGCCTCCCCATTCTGCTCCCATCTCCATTCTCACCCCTTCCTCCCTGCACCCTACACAAAACTAATAATCCCACACAATTGCGTGCAGAATGGACGCGAGACATACTGTTGCAAACAAAACCAATAACGTTGATTGAAAGCATTTCATTTATCTTGAATGCTGGTGCTTGAAGAAAAGCCAGTTTAATTAGAAGGAAGGCCAGGGAGATGGTGACTTGGTGAAAATTCCAGAAGACCCTTTGGAGAGCTTTAGGGGTGCTTCAGCCAAATAACTCAACGAAGCAAATAGTCATTGATTGCCTTCCATGTGTCAGCAGCAGGCGCTCTATGATGCGGTCTGATTTCTCTAGAATCCCCCATTCCTGAGTACAGGGGGAGGTCAGCAGTGACCCCGACATGTTTTAGTTCAATTACGGTGCCTTTAATGTGCAGAAAAGGAAAAGGAGAGAAACACCCCAGACCAAGCAGGCAGGAAGCAGAGGCGACAAAAGGAGTCCAAGGCAACGTGAAAGGTGACAAGTGGGGAAATGGTGACCAGTGCTGATGTCATACTGGCTCCCCGTGAGGGAGGGGCGAGCTAGTGAGGTGGTGCTCCGGGATCTTTCCGACTCTTTGTGGGGGTCAGGGGCAGCCTGCTGCTGGGCATTGGGATGCAGGGATTCACGAAGGGCACACCTGACGGCCCCCCGCTACTTCTCTGCTTTCGTGAATGCCAACGTCACCTTCCTGCAGGGGTGTGTCTGTGTGTGTGTGTCTGTATGTGTGTGTGTGTGTGTGTGTGTGTGTGTGTGTGTGTGTGTGTGTGGTGAGTCTCCCAGACACAGGGCAAAGTCGCAGGGAGGCCCAGGCTCATTCAGCCCCGACCTGGCTGGCTCCCTGAGACGCCTCACCTTCACACTTGGAGAAGTCTGACTCCCAGGGGGTGCGAGGCCCCTCCAGCTCACCACAAGGTCTGGCTCGCAAGCTAGACAGGCAGCGCGTGCCAGGCCCGCCGGCTGTGGGCACCTGACCCTCTCCTGGTGATGGCTGAGCGCATGTTAAAAGGTGACCGTGTTACTGCGGTCCCTTGCTGGTGACGAAGGGGGCACAAGCACGCAGACGAGGGGCTCCTAACCTAGAGGCACGCCCCGCTACGGAGCTCATGAACAAAACTCAGAAGATTCACCGAGTTGGGTAGAGAAAGGAATTGCTTCTTTATTCTCACGCACTTCTAAGTGAATTTTACAGTTTCTTCTCTGTGTCGGTCACAAGCACAGAAGCTCTCATGCGGCGTGAGTCCTGTCACCAAGAAAAATGACGGGCATTTTAATATCCTTTTATGGAGGCTGCAGATCAGATTTCTGCTCCCCGCTGCCTGAGAGCGCGGTGTCAGACCCGCCGCCCGGCCGCGCTTACCTTCGTCAAGAAAGAAGCACGTCTATGGCCATAAATTTCTTGCAATATAAAATTTGATAACCGTATTTCAATATAATTGGCTTCCTTTGCGATCTTATGTATTTTCTGCATTTAGACGCACCTTTCTGAGCAGAATTCAAGGACTTCGGCGGGGCCCGTGGCACAAGAACAGCTGGGAACTGGGGACACTTAGAGAAAGTGAGGTGTGAGGCCACAGGCCCGTGTGGCTCAGAGAGAGAAGCCCAGAGCTGACATGTGTGAGGGGGGTGCCCCAGAGAGCAGCAGCAGCAAACTAAACAGGGAGGCGGGCACGGTCTCTGGGCCAGACCGACGGAGGTGGGGCCCGTCTGGAAACGGGGCACCCTGGAAACTGGCTGCTAATCTGGATCCGGTAGACTCCACCCCAGGGTCCTGGGTCCCGCGACCCAGAGAAAATGTCTCCCCTCAGCAACCCCACCTTCAGAACTCTGGGTCTTAAAACACTGAGGACCCTCTTCCTCCCAGTGCCGAAACCTGAGGCCCCGCTCGAGCTAGCTGACCCCAGCGGTGTGAC